CTCCATCCAAGTAGGCCTTCCAGTCCCCTGGGGAAGCAGCTAAACAGAGCCCTAGCAACTCGCATACACAGCTTGCATACACACGCACGTGCACACCCTCGTACAGAGGCAGTGTGGCCTGGATCCCAGCCTCCCACACCCCACAGAGCACCATCTGCCCCTTCCAAAGGTCCTCACACAGGAGGGAAACCTGGATTCTCCTTGTGTGTCAAGAGAAGAAGCCAAGGACCGGAGCAGAGAGGGGCCTCATCCAAAGTGGCACAGAGGTTTGGGACAGATCTGAGCGCAGAGACCAGAACTCCCGAGTGTCAGGCGGGCTACCTGATGGGGCAGATGCTATTTGGTTGCCCTTGAAACAGCAGGTTTGCAAATCCTCGCTGAGCCCATGTGGAACCTAGCGCCCAACCCCAACCTCTTGGGGCCCTGCCTGTGTCATTGAGTCACAGCAAGGCTTGGCCTGACTGCGCCTCCTCCTGTACCAGCCTCCCTCCCTCTGCCCCACAGGGCCTGCTCCCTCTGTGCCTGGCCCGGTGCTGAGGGTTCGCACATATTCATGAACCTGCCGAGACCACGCGAGTCCCAGGAGGTGGAATTATTATTCCCATTTCATAGCTGAAACAACTAAGGTTTAGAGACGTAAAGCAACTTGTCACACATTTTTACCAGGAACTGAGACTCCTTGCAGGACCCGTTATCTGCACACTCATAAGCTCACCTATTCCTCGGACTTCATTAGAAAAATTCTGCCCACAAGCCAAGGAGGACCAGCATCAAAAGCCCCCACCTGCAACTCCAGCTGAGCCACTAAGTCTTGCAGACTGGCTAGGGGTGTAGATTCTTTTGCAAAGGTCTGGCTGAGGCTACCTGGAAGTCAGAGAAAGAGGTTCCAGTCCCTGTTCAGCCATCATGGGCTGTCCACTTTCTCTGAACCCTCATTTTCTCATTTGTAAACTGGAAATAATACTCAGCCCTTCTTCCCAGAGCTTTGTGGGTGGGACTCGATGGCGATGAGGCACGGAACCCCTGTCATGTGCCTCTGCTTGGTCCTGGCTCCTATTTCTACCTGCCGCCTGGCATCATCCTCCCCACCCCCAGCCAAGCCTCCACTCTCTTCTGTACCCAGCAGATGGGATCAGTCCCACAGCTGTTCCTCAATCCCCCACTGCCTTCTCCCATCCAAGGAAGGGGCTGCCACTGCAGCAGGGGGCCCAGGGTACCCCTTTCCATCTGCCTTCCCCAGCTAGGGAGAGGAGAGGCAAAGCCAGATGTTCCAGAAATGTGGCCAGTTGTTCGCAAAACAACAAACAAGCAGTTTTTTTGAGACCCCTGTCAGGTCCATTGCTTGAGGGCCTGAGAGCTCTGAGGGAGAGGTGGGGCTGTGGGGGAGTCGCCAGGAGCCTGAGGTCCGGCAGGAAGGGAGGTGAAGCAGAGAGGCCTTCTGGAGTGTGACGTCAGTGGGAGGAGTACGGGCAGGGGACGGTAGGCTAAGGGATGGGGGGTGCAGAGGCAGGGAGAGGGCGGGGAGCTGAGAGTTTGGTGCAAGCCAGAGGAGCAGGGAGGAGTGAAGCGGAAGATCTGGTGGGTCCAGAGCTGGCTGCCTGGGCAGGAGGCCTCTGCAGGGGAGCACTAACCTGCCCCTCCTTCCCCACCATGCCTTCCCCACCCTGCCCCAGGACCTAACTTCAGATGGAGAGACCTTTGGAACCCCCAAGGGGCTCCCAGGCCCTCCTTAGCTCCATCATGGAAGGAATGCCGAAGAAACACAAGGTCCTAAGCGCTGGGCAGCAGTTTGGACTCAGTGGTCTCCTCCAGGCTGGAGAGTCTAGGAGGTCATAGCTGGCCCAAGCCAGGCCAAGAGAGCACATCACTCACATGGCAGAGGCTGAGAGCATGAGGGACTTGACTCTCCCACAAGGAGCGTGGCTACACTTGGCACCTCTGCAGCTATCATCCAATGGAGCGGCACCCCCTCCCGCTGGCATCCAACTGAGTGGCACTGCTCTGCCCTCTTGCCTCTCCACCCACCAAAACCTATTTGCCAGCTGACCCCAACTGCTCCCATCAGGGCCAAGACTGGGCAGCAGTAGGAGAGCGGGCTGTTTCTGACTTATTTCCTGGAACTGGCTGGCTCTGCCCTCCAGCAAAACTGTTCCTGGAAGGACAAGGATCCTGGGTCTGAAACAAAAGCCCCCTCCCCGCATCTTCTGTGGCCTGGGGAAGTGGAGAATGACTTTTGCCACTCACCCTGTAACCCTGAATAATGAGATCGTGAACAGCAGCTCACGTTTCTGAAGCACATACCCCATGCCATGCGCTGAACTAGACTTGCCTCGTACACGGCCTGACTTAAGTCATTGCAACTCTGGGGTAAAGGCCAATGCGCACAATATATAGATAAGAAAACTAAGGGGAAAAGAGGCGGTTGCATGACTTCTTCAAAGATTCGCAGCTAGTAGTAAATAGTGGAGCCAGAGACCGCACCCCAGAGCCTGCCTCCAAGGCCCTTCACCTCTACACGGCTGCTGCCCTTCCCTCCCCTCAGTCTTCCCATCTGTGGGTTGGGGAGGAGCTGGACGTCATGACCTCACAGCTCTGTGATCACTCGTCGACCAGCCTGGAATTGCCGACACTAGCAAGCACTGGTCCTTCCTCTCATGTGAAAGAAAAGGGCAATCAGCCCAAAGACACTGTACAGATGAGGCAACTGAGGCCTGAGCAGGGGATGCACCCAAGGTCCTCCGGGGAGCCCAGGCGGGGCTCAGGGCAGGGGGACCAGGCACCTTTCCAGTCTGCCCTCCAGCTGCTCTGCACAGCCAAAGCCGCTGCGAGGCCAAGGGAACCAGGGTGTGAGTAATGGAAACCAGGCAGTGGGGCCTTCCGAAATGGGAATTCCATCTGCCTGACTTTGTTCCCCGGGACTTTGGTTTCCATGGCAACTCTGGGAACCAGGAGGTGGGGAAGGTGGAAGAAGGTGGAAGGCCTGGCCCCAAACTGAATCCCTAGAATCTAAAGGACAGGAAAGGTGGGTCTCCTTGTGGACCCAGGGGCTCCTCCCGGCAGAAGATGTGAGTGACGCGAGGTCAGGCAGGGGAGTCCTGGGCTCTGACCCAGGGCTGCCTCTAACATTTTGGGGGAGTAGGGAGTAGTATTATAGTCCTCCCTGGGCCCCAGTTTTTCCAGCTGTCAGATCCCCAAATCCCAGGCCTGGAAAAAAACCTGGTAGGTGCCTTTGTTCAGAATTAGGAGCATGACTCTGTTCCCAGGCCCTTCCAGCCTCACTGAGGCCCCGGAGCTCTGTGTGGGAAAGCTCCTCACAGTTTACGATGCCCAGTGGCACTCACTGCCAGGTCCTGGAGAAAGACCCAGCACCATTCCTGCAGGGGCTCACACTCTGGTGCCAGCAGGTATCAAGCACCTAGGTATGCCTGGCCCCAGGTTAGAACCTTTCTACAGACTGGCTCACTGGCTCTGGATCTCAGCACTGAAACAATATCATCATCCCCACTTTTGCAGGCTTAGAGATGGGCAGGGACTCACTAAGGTTACAGAGCAAGTCAGTAGCAAAGTCAAAACTCAAACCCAGGACCGCCTGATTCTAAAGCCTGGCAGCCTTTGGAGACAGAAAAACCCACAGTAAGCCAAACAGCATGGTACTGGTATACCTGACTCAGTACGTGTGGTAAGGGCTAGTCAAGGAGGGGCCGTGGCTGCCGGGGAGCAGAAGGAAGAGGGTTCTCCACTGACCCGGGCTACTGTTGTTGCACAGGAGATTCTTCTGAAACAGGCTTTCAGGGTGAGCAGGCATGAGGGGTCCCATTTGCAACAGGGGCAGGAAAAGTCAGGCTCGGTCACAGCGGCAGACAGCCCACCTTTCCCTCCCGATAAGCCCCTACCCAGCATCTGCTCCACACCCAGGCCCCAGCCGGAGTCCTAACCCTGAGGAGGGCTCAGCCCAACTCCCTGAAGGCCTCCAGAGACCAACAGTTCTGATCGTGTCACTGTGCAGAGGGGCAGACAGGGCTGGCCTTGCCCAGAGAGGTAAGTGAGGGGAGGCAGGGAGGAGGGAGCATGCCCCATGTCCTCTGCAGCTCCTCAGGACCCCAGGCAGGGAACAATATTCAAGGAGATGGGGCCCAGCTCCTCCTGCATCAACTCCATCCAGCTTCATCTAAGACAGCCCTGCTGAGCCAGACTCCACCCCGGGCCATGCTCTGGCCCCTGGGAGGTTGTATGTGTAGGGTCAGCTTTGGCATCAGCTTGGCCTGGGCTCTGGGCCTCTTCTGTCCACTACTAGGCAAGTGGCCCAGCTCCTCCCTCGAAGGATGCCCTGGGCCCTTCCTAAATTTGCATCTTCTGTTAGGTAGGAGGGAAAACAAGGGCACAGTGCGGAAAGTCTTGCCCAGGGCCACAGAGAGACTCTGAGTCCTACCTCCTGTCACTTCCGCAGCTGTTCCTTCTGTCCAGAGGCCTTCGTAAGCCCACCACTGCCCTTCCTGAGATTCTGGCCCCATCCACCTTTACCAGCCATCCCTGCACCACATGAAAGTTCCATTCAAACCCCAGGGGATGGCAAGGCAGAGAAGTGAAGGAACTTGCTGAACCACGTGGTCAGCTGGTGGCAAGCAAGGACTCCATCCTGTAGCTGGCAGAGCGCAGACTTTGCAGCCAGTCAGACTTGGGCTGAACTCCAGCCACCTGCTGGCTACGTGACCTTGGACCAGTCACCTTCCCAGTCTGGGCTTCAATCTCCTCATCTGTAAAATGGGGATAAGCCCTACCTCCCAGGCTTGGGGAGAAGATGCATTGGCCGCTAGAATGAGTGTGGCATGGCGCCTGGCACAGAGGAAGGATGGGAGAGCAGCCCTCACTGGTGTATCTGCTCCAGGATGGGGGCAGGTGATGGCAAGAGAGGGGAAGTGGCTGAATCAACAGCACAAAGAGCAACACTCCCGGCCCTAGCCACCCTGGGAAGGCTTGAGACCAGGAACACACAGAAACGGTCAAGAACGAGAAATAACACAGGCCTTTTATTTGCTCCAGAACTCGGCTACTGTGTGGTCTGAGGGTGCCATGCTTTCCCAAAGCTCCTGAGGGACACCCCACCCAGGGGGTGCCAGATCTCTGTGTGCAGCCAGACTGCATCAGTCCAGAAGGCCAGCTGGCCATGACTGGTGCCCGGGACCAGCACATCCCCTGAAGCTGGAAAATGGTGTCCACCTTTGCATGGCGGCTTCTCACAAGGCATTGGCTAAAATATTGCACTTGTAAATCAGGAAAACTGATGAGGCAAGGGTTTCCTATGACAGGACAACGTGCCAAGCATCCGACTACTATTTAAATAAATAAAACTCCAGGTTGGGGTCTGAGCTGCAAGCCCCAGTGGCCCTCCAGGAGGGCCTGAGAGCCCAGGCCTGGACCTTCTGCCCCGTCAGCCAGTTCTTTAAGGAACTTGGTCAATGCAAAGCCTTTGCAGTCTCCGCAGCAGGGAGCAGCAGCTCCAGATCTGGCTCAGCTGGGGCCCCTGACCTGCCAGAGTCCTTGGGCCCCCTCGTACCAGGGCAGTGGGGACCTTACGGGGCCCGTCCTTCAACTCCTCCAGTATCCTGGGCCTCTCTTGGTCCAGGCCTCGCTTCCATATGTCCATCCGTCTGTCCAGAGACACAGCCTCTGGGGGCTTGCTGGCCCCCTCCGTCACAGGGGGGAGGGAGGCAGGTGGGCAGGGGGCCCAGCCTGCCTGGTGTGAATCCTGAGCTCGACTCCAGTGGCCCCTAAAGCGGGGGACTCATCTTCTTCTGGTTAATAAGGTCCAGATAGAGGTCAGAACGCAGAAAGCGAGGGTACGAGTCCTTTTCCATGAGCCCAAAGATGCGCTTCTGCGCCAGGTCGAAGCAGCCCCGCGTGACACTCTGCAGGTTGTCCTTGGTGTGCTCCCGTGTGTAGGAGTCCAGGTTGACCTGCGGAGGCAGAGGGTGACGTGGTCAGGGCTGCCTGCTGGGGGCCGACCCTAGCGCCCATGCGTCTGGAAGGGACCAGTCCAGCCTCTCACCTCCAAGCCCCTCTGCCTCACATGTTAAGGTTCATCCAGAGAGGAGACCCTCAGACCTGAGGATTCAAGTCCTAGCTCAGTCATTTCCTGTAGGGCTGACAGCATTTATAAGGCCTGAAAATACCTCCCCTAGGGTGAAGCTTCCTGGGTTCAAATCCTAGCAGTGCCACATGTGGGGTGTGACTTGAAGCAAATCACTTAACTGTGCTGAGCCTTCAGTTGTCTTATCTACCGGCTAGGAATAATAGAACATTCCTGAAAGCATAAAAACCAAGCAAGATCATCCAAATAATGCACTTTGCACACAGTGGCTGGCACAGTAGACACTCAGTAGATGTGAGCAATTATGATTTGTCCCTCTGAGGCTGCCTCCTCTTTTCCTTTTTTCAAGATAGGATCTTGCTCTGTTGCTCAGGCTGGAGTGCAATGGTGCCATCACGGCTCACTGTAAACTCTGCCTCCCGGGCTCAAGTGATTCTCCTGCCTCAGACTCATGAGTAGCTCCGACCACAGGTGCCCATCAGCACGCCTGGCTAATTTTGTAATTTTGGTAGAGACGGGGTTTCACCATGCTGACCAGGCTGGTCTTGAACTCCTGGCCTCAAGTGATCCGCCCACCTTGGCCTCCCAAAGTGCTGGGATTACAGGCATGAACCACTGTGCCCAGCCTGTCTTCTCATTTTTAAAATGAAGATAATAAAACCTGTTTCAGGCCGGGCGCGGTGGCTCAAGCCTGTAATTCCAGCACTTTGGGAGGCCGAGGCGGGTGGATCACGAGATCAAGAGATCGAGACCATCCTGGTCAACATGGTGAAACCCCATCTCTACTAAAAATACAAAACATTAGCTGGGCATGGTGGTGTGTGCCTGTAATCCCAGCTACTCAGGAGGCTGAGGCAGGAGAACTGCCTGAACCCAGGAAGCAGAGGTTGCGGTGAGCCGAGATCGCACCATTGCACTCCAGCCTGGGTAACAAGAGCGAAATTCCGTCTCAAAAAAAACAAAAACAAAAACAAAAACCTGTTTCACAGGTTGTCATGAGGATTAAACATGAGAACACACACATAAAGGGCTTAGCGGTGCCTGGCAGGCGACAGTGCCTTGGCGGCGGCCACTGTTATTACTGACTGGGATTCTGTTCTTCTCTTGGCCCTAGCCTGCATCTTCCCCCCTGGGTACCTGGGCTCACGGAGTCACTCTGGCCTCTCCCCTTCCTGCACTGCCGGCTGCCACCTTGCAGCTGAAGGGCCACTGGGCCTTGGGGATCGCAGGGGCTGAAGGTCTGGCCTGAGATCCTACCTCCTTGCATGCCTGGATCGCGATGTATTCAGCAAAGATCTTCTTGGCCTTGGCTGCCATCTTGGACTGTGACTTGACCTTCTTGAAGTCCTCACAAGCCAACCAGAACTCCAGATTCTCCTCGCTGAACTCAGTGCGAAGGAAGGCTTGGAATACTGCTAACCCGTCTGTGAGGAGAAGCCACACCCACGGTAAGAGGTAGAGTCAACCTCTCCTGCCCTTAAGACCCCCAGCTTACTCCTACAGGACTTTGAAGATGGGTGTGCTGGGAGCTGAGTACAATCCCCAGCCCCTAGAGCCAGGCGCCCTGCCATTCTTCTTTCAGGATCTCAGCCAGGTCTCTCCCTCCCTATGCCTCAGTGTCTTTATCTGTGAAATAGGGACTATCAATTCTGTCTCCTGGAACCCTGGGAGGAGCCGATGGGACCCTGCCCATGAGATGGCAGGTACATTTGGCCCCGTGAAAGCCCTCAGTGCGTGGAAATGTTTATTCTTGTTCTGGGAATATGTATCTGAACACACAAGTCCCACGAGCCTCTGGCAGGCAGTGCCAGCTCCCATGGACAGGGAGTGGCCAACAGAAGCCAGCTCCAAGGCCAGACCAAGGGCCTCGGCTAGGGCTCAGCCTCTCCCCAACAGCAAGGACATCCTGACGGCTCAGGAAAGGGAAGGCAGCCTCTCCAGCACCAGCCACACAGGGTCTGGATGGGGAGGAAAGGGAGAGGGAGGGAGAGCCCAGGAAGGGGGCAGGTGGGCCCAACTTACATTTGTGAAGCAGCAGCTTCTCCAAAGACTCACCCCACTTGAGGGCTTCCTCCGAGGTGGGCCTGAGGGGCGAGGGAGGAAACACAGTGATGGATCTGCGGGCTTGGGGACCTGGGGGGAGGCTGGGCCCGGCGGCCTTTGTTGAGTGCCCTGGGCCCAGACTGCAGCTGAGCACAGCTGGGGTGCCCAGAAAGCAGGCCCACCCTCTTTCTCAGGGCCAGGGTCCCTTCCAGTCCCCACCTCCACCCTACCTGGTCTTCCCCCCAGGGCAGCCACTACAGTGAGGTACCCGGCTCCCTCTGAGAGCATCCGTCTCCCCAGAGCTGGATCAAGCCGGCAACCCCCTTCCCCTCCACCCCATCACTCAGCCCTACTCCCCAGGGGGGCCAGTGAGTCCCCAAAGGGTCCCAGGGTGCCAGGGAGGACCTACTTGAATGACTTCATCATTTTGTCTGCCTTGCCCGCGGGAGGGGCTCCAGGGGACTCATTCCGCCGTCTGAAGAGCCCCAGCTTATTCTTCATATCCTTGGCTCTGGGGACAGAAGCAGAAAAGAGGGTTGCTCAGCCTGACTCGCCCGGCCCCTGCAAATCCCGGCCCCTGCAAATCCGGAGTTGGGAGAGCTGGGGCGAGGGGACCTACTCCTTCATCGTGTGCCGCCTCTGCAGGTTCCCGTTGCGAGTGAGGTACATGCCTCGGAGCATCTCTGTAGGGCCCCCCACCTTGGCGCCGTAGGATGGTCTGCTGAAAGCACCCCTCCGGCTCCTGCCCCCCACCTTGTGTCCCAGGTAGCAGGCAGCGACTGTACAAGCTGCAGCCACACGCGCTCGCTGGAATGCCAGCCTGATGACTGGACTCCCAGGCACAAGCCGGGGCTGGAACTCAGACAGGAGGAGCCAGGAAATGGGAGGGACCAGGAGGGGGAGCGGAAAAAAGAATTCCTCTCGGCCAACCATGAGAGGGAGCCGTGAAAGGGGCATGTGTCTGCAAGGGACAGCCTCTGGGGCCACCCCGGCAGGAAGCCAGCCCTAGCTATTTGTGACAGGCCTCCTCGTTACCACGGCAGCAGGGAGACAGCGGTGGGGGGTGGGGGACAAGTCAACAAATTGCTGAGACGGAGGGAGGGGGCAGGGGAGGCTCTGCCCACCAGGGTGGCAGGACTGGCTATTTTTAGCCAAGAACCATTTTTAGCCTTGCTGGTCCCCCAGGAGGCAGCAGAAATCAGCACTGGGTGAAACTGCTAGCAAGAAAGGGGTTAAATGCCTCTTGTTCACATTCACCTCCCTTTTCCCTAGACCCCCAGCACGAGGCACCTCCCAGAGAACGGCTCCTGCCAGCCAGCCTAGTGGCCTCAGCCATCCGCCTCGGCGGCATCCAGTCACAAATATATAGCAGGTCCCCAACGTCTTAGTAGTTTGAAGCCTGAATAACTTCAGAAGGGCAAGTCCTACAAACTCACAAAAACACCATTTTAAAGTTTCATTATTTAATATTGTATGCATAGCTTTTTTGTGATTTTTGAATAATCAATTTCTCATTTTAAGTTTCCGTCTCCACCCTCCCAAAGATGGAAAATACTGACTGAAACCAAAAGTGAAAATGAAAAATTGATTATTCAAAAATCACAGCGCTGAAGATGTGCAAAAGAAATTTAAATAATTAAACTTTCAAGGGGGTTTGGTAAGTTTGAAGCATTTATACTTCTGAAGCTAGTCAAGCTTAAAATGGCATTAAGACCTAGGGGACACCCTATCTAATGACGAAAAGTCCTATGGGGGAGGCTGGACCCGGTCTGTGGAGCCAGACAGTCTTGGGTTCAAATCCCAGCTCCAGCAGTTACCAGCTGTGCAGCCTCCGACAAGCTTCCTGACCTCTCAAGTTTCCTATCCAGCTTTTTTCTCTGTCAAGCTGTTCCTGTCAAACGGAAGCCAGCAGGCCAGGGCTCCAGGTCCCAATTCCACCACTTTCTTGTCATGTAACTTAACGTCTTTGCACACTAGTTTATTTATTTGTAAAATAAGGGTAAGCTCAGTAAGAAAGAAAGGAATGCAAATTAAAGGTAGTGGTAAAGATTAAATTAGATCACATATGAAATATGCACAGGAGAGTGCCTGGCACAATAAACATTAATGATTATTTTTATGATTACTCTAGATGTTCTAAACTCTTCATCTAAGCTTTTAAAAGCATAAGCTTCAGAGGCCAGGCATGGTGGCTCATGCCTGTAATCCCAGCACTTTGGGAGGCTGAGGCGGGCAGATCACTTGAGGCCGGGAGTTTGAGACCAGCCTGACCAATATGGCAAACCCCTGTCTCTCCTAAAAATGCAAAAATTTTTGCTGGGTGTGATGGCACACACCTTTAATCCCAGCTACTTGGGAGGCTGAGGCATGAGAACTGCTTGAACCCGGGAGGCAGAGGTTACAGCAAGCTGAGATTGCACTCCAGCCTGGGTAACAGAAGGAGACTCTGTCTCAAAAAAAAAAAAAAAAAAAAAAAAAAAATTGTGGGCTTCAGGCAATTCAAAAGGCAGCACCTACACTGAAAGGAGGCTAGATAGGGCAGCTCCAGCACCCGGGGTGCCTGCCTTCTGCTGCCACACACAACCCCGCATCTCCTGCTTCCAGCGCCACGTTTAACAGCCCTGGCACCGCCCACACCCTCTCATCCCAAAAACGGTTAAGTGAAGATGATTGGTGCAAAGGACTTTTTTGTTTGTGCATTTCACCTTGCCAAGAAGGTAAATTGGCTGTGGAGTGAGAGAAGCCGACAGTTGCTGCAGAAAACTGAAGCGGTCAGGGCAGCTGAGGTGACAAAGGCTTTCTAGGGCAGTGGTCCCCACCCAAGGTCAAGACCAGGGAAGAGGGTTGTAGGAGGCTCCTCCCCACAGCCCAAATCCTTCCTATTAGTGGGTGCTACAGGACCTGGAGGGGAGGGGCTTCCTCTGGGGGGATCACGGTGCATGTAGCCCATTGCCTCCTCTCTATACCTCCCCCCAGTCTCCAGAGCCTTAGGTGTGGGGGTACAAGGACACCTGAGATGAACCCACATACATATCTTTTTCATTGGTACCTCTAACAAACCCCAAAATGTACAAGAAGGCCTAAGTGAGGTCAGAAAAGGCTTGGGGAGTGTGGGATTCGACAGCTGGGCCAGCAGCGCCCCCTCCTGGCAATGCTGGAAACTGTCAGCATTCAGGAGCTCAGAAGGAGGAAGAGGAGCCCCATGACTGTCAGTTTCACCCTTTCTCAGGTCACTCGTGGGCCCAGAGGTTGCAAAGGATTTGTTGAAGCCATTTGGCCCCTGCCTGGCTCAGAAGCTGGGCCAGAGCCAGAGCAACCGGCTGGATGCCTCTGGTTCACTGTGGCTTCCGGGTACTGAATCAGCACCTTGCCTCACTTGCAGAGAATGCTCCAAGATCCTGTTTTTCCTTGGTGTCTGTCTGGGGTTATAGGCAAGACCAAGTGCAGCCCTTCTCCCCACCTGGACCCCTAGAGGAGAGACAAGCCCTGGAGCAGGGGAGGAAGAGGAGCAAGGGCGCCAGGGACCTTCCCAACATACAGGTTTTTGCTCTTTCTCTTCCGAGAGGCTTCGTCATCATCCCCAGCGGTGTCGGCCCCACTTATCTGCGGAGAAAAGACAGACACAGTGCAGTCTGGGCACCCAGGAGCTCCTGCCTCAGCAAAGAGAGGCTCAGAGACCCAACAGTCCCTGCCATCAGCCCCTTCCACCTCCAAAGCCCAAACAACCCTCACCCCCGATACAGCAGGTGAGGGAGTGAAACCCCACTGCTGGGAACAGCCTGGCCATGAAGTGAGATCACCTTGGCGGAGCCTCGGGCCACAGGGATCTCCTCCTGGGGCATTCAGGTCCCCAGCTCACTGGGGAGGAGCCAGACAGTTGGCACTCACGACAGAGGCTGCATTGCAGGCAGTGAGCTGGTGAGAGAGCAGGGGTTCTGCTGTGTCACCAGACCAATCCCTGCCCCTCTCTGAGCCTCTGTTCTTTAATTTCTAAAATCAGGTTCATAACGATTGACTCAAAGTTCGAAGGAGACCTGAGATGGTCAGCAGTGTATAAAATGAATCATTACACAGGCCTGAGCACACCTCTCTTGCCTTATACTTTTCCACGGCTCCCTAGTGCCCTCAGGATAACATCCAAACTCCATAACATGACTGGATCTACCATCTTAGGATTGGGGCAGGAAGTTCCATTTTATTAGCAACAATCACGCCTCAGATAAACCTCATTGACTACGATACTGCTACTGCGCAAAGCTGAAAGTTCCATTTTAACACCAGTTACAACTCCTTCAGTGCTGTCTCCAGCCTGGCCCCTATGTCAGCAACCTCCTCAACTCTTCCTTCCAACCAATCAGAAGGTCTTCATCTCCATGTGCAATTCCTTCCCCAAGGGATGCTTTTATGAGTCTCCTACCTCCATTCTCTCCTAAGACCCAGCTTCAGGTAAGACGAAAACCTCAAGTGAGCCCCTGAAATGCCTCCTCCCCTGGGAAGCCCCCTCCGACACCTGGAACAAGGTTGTGCCACCTTCACCTCTTTCAAAGTCCCCACCACACCCAAAATGACTTGTTCAAAATCTATCTCCTCTGCTCCGTTATGAGATCCCAAGAGCGAGGCTTCTGTCTGCCTGGACCACCTTCCCAGGGCCTGGCATGCATTAGGAGCTCAGCAGGTCAAATCTGTGGAATTAGTGAATGAATCTGAGCGGAGAAGCGGGCTGGGGAGGGTAAGTCTGGAGGCCCTCCCCGCCTGATCCAGGGCCTGCTGTTCATCCCCCACCCACCCCATTTCCTTGCCTTTGCCTGTGCAGTACCCACTTCCTGGAATGCCCTCTGTCTCCTCCTGTCCTCCAAACCACTCCAGATACCCACCATCTCTATTAGGGCCACCCTCTGTCTCCCCTGCGCTGGCTGGGTTTGCATGTCCCCCTCCGGGGGGACCCAGGGCCCCAACAGTGCTAGCCCAGAGCAGGAGCCCAGGTAATGCTCAGAGACAGCAGAAAAGTCAAAGTTCAGAGTTGGATAGGCATGAACCTATGTCCGAAGACAGGACAGAGGGCCACCAGGGTGGATCTCGGCTCTGATTCCTCCTGAGGCCCGCCTTAGTTTGCTCATTTGTAAAATAAAGAAGATGGGCTAAGCCTTAAAATGCTGTGTTCTTACTTCTGGAAAGAAAAAACAGTGGCTCATGCCTGTAATCCCAGAATTTTGGGAGGCCGAGATGGGTGGATCACTTGAGTATAGGTGTTTAAGACCAGCCTGGGCAACAGGGTGAAACCCTATCTCTACAAAAAAATCCAAAAATTAGCCAGGCATGGTGGCATGCACCTGTGGTCCCAGGTACTCAGGAGGCTGAGGTGGGAGATCACCTGAGTCATGATCATACCACTGCACTCCATCCTGGACAACAAAGTGAGACTCTGTTGAAAAGAAAGAAAAGAATTAAAAAAAGAAAAGAAAAGAAAAGACGGGAGGGGAGGGGAGGGAAGGAAAGGAGAGGAGAGAAGAGGAGGGGAGGGGAGGGGAGAGGAAGAGAGGGGAGGGGAAGGGAAGGGAAGGAGGGGAGGGAGAGGAAGAGGAAGGGAAGAAGGCAACAAAAAGAGGAGAGGAGGGGAGGGGGGGAGAGGAGGGGAGGGGGGGAGGGGAGGGGAGGGGAGGACAGAAGAATGCACTTATTTCAGATAGAGCCGGCAAGAGAAGCCGCTGGCCTCAGTGGAGCACCCACCCAAGAATGGACGGATGGATGGATGAGTGGGTGCGTGGGCGGGTGGGGAGGTGGGTGGATGAGTGGGTGGGCGGGTGGGGGGTGGATGGATGGGTGGGTGGATAAATGCATGGGTTGGTGGATGGATGGATGGATGGATGGATGAATGGATGAATGTATCGGTGGGTGGATGAGTGGATGGATGGAAGAGTAGATGAGTGGATGGATGGATGAATTACACTTTCATTAGCTCGCACTATAGGCCAGACCCTGGATGGGGCATAATTCAGATACAGTCTCATTAAACCTCACAGTAAATCTATAAACAGTAAACAGAGGATGAGAGAATTTAAGTCACTTGCCCAAGGAGACCCAGCATTTAAGTGACAGAGCTGGAATCTACCTCAATTCAAAGCCCGGGTTTCTCCACCAGAGGATGCTGCTACTCAAAAATGCAAGGTCAGAACACATTTTAACGTTTCCAGTGAAAGACTCGGGAAGTGCTGCCTCCTTCCTGAGAATGCTGCTCCACCAGAGTTGTAAACACCCATGTGTGTACGTGCACACAGAGGCACACACCATATGGTGTGATTTCAGAGCAAGGGTTTGGAGCCAGACCTGGATATTAATCCTGCTTTCACCAACTTTGGATCAGTTTCCTAGCCTCTGATTCCGCTTTTTTAGCTACAGCTTAGGCATAGTGACATCCCCCTCACAGGGCTGCTAAAAGGTTCACCAGGATAAAGTCTGGGCCCCAAGGCCCAGTCCTGGCACTCATGCCACCCTCAGTAACCAGGGTTCATTGCTCAGTGAGTGTTACCACTGTCACCCCAGAGCACACACAGGCTGCAGTCACGATGGCCTGGCGAGGCCGTGCCGGAGGCCCCCACCCGTGGGAAAGAGCCCTGGGGCCCTGGGCTTCCTCCCATTCTAACCTCAGCTTCCGTACTTTATCGGCCCCACACAATGGGCCTGGGACCACTCCCACCCAGCCACCACCCCCAGCCTCTGCGCTGCTGGGAAATGGGCTATTCCTTCCACTGCGGGGAGGAGAGCGTCTTCGGCAGGGACTGATCCAATCCAAGGCACCTGACAGAGGGGCTGGGTGGCTCTGGCCCTGGAAGTCAGCCCCCTGGGCTGCTGGGGAAACCCCAGCACCAAGAGCAGCCTGTGAGCCAAGGAGACACTGCGGTGGAAAACTGGGTTCTGGTTCCCAGCCCTAGGGACTCCCCATAGCTGCAGGGAGGCTTTGGGCTCTGGCCTTGGAAGGGGCCAGGGTGGCCCCCCAGGGTGCTGCCTCCCACAGCTGCAGCAAGGCCTGCCCAGGACCCAGCCTGTAAAAGCTCTGCGAAGGGATTCTCCTTTCCATCTTCACACTCACTCTGCCAGGCTGTCAGGCTGAAAAGCAAATGGAGGAGAGTCCAGGAGCACGCAGCCCTTCCCTCGCTCCGTGCAGAATCCCTGGGGCCTGCCCAGCCTCCTCTAGCCTCCTCCAGGGACTAGAAGCTTACCATCTCTTGGGACAATAATTATAAATCTTACTGTAATTATAACTGTCATTATAGTAATGCTTAAAAGTGTAGATTTTTAACTGCTTGGATTTGAACCTTAGCTCAATCATTTATTAGCTAATTGACCTTAGCTCAGTTACATTCCTTCTCTGTGCCTCAGTTTCCTTATTTGTAAAATGCAGGTAATAAGTTAATAAGTGGACCTCCCTCAAAGGGCTGTGGTGAGGATTATAGAACTTAACACAGCGGACATGCCCAGCACAGCGCCCGGCACACAGCAGTGAGCAAGTACTCTTAGCTAGTGTGGGTTGTGCCATTATTTATGGAGCGTTCACTACATGCCAGGCGCCGGGCCAACGTGCTTTAACATATTTTATCTCATTTAATCTTGGCAAGGATTCTAAGAGCCAGTTGCTGATACTCCCACTCAGTATGCAGCTGAGGAAACCAATGCCCACGGCAGTTTGGTAACTGGCATGGGCTCTCTGAACTGGCAAGTAGCAGAGAATTGTGGTCTGGGTCCAGAACCCACCGGTAACTAAGGACTCTTCCGTGAGCAGAGCTCAACTGGTTTTCTCTATTGGTCCTGGTCAGACTTCTGGGGCTCCCTGGCCATCCATGGCTGCCCTCTCTGATCCAGCCCAGCCTGGCAGGTCCCATGAAACCATGTGGAAACAGTTGGATCTAAACTCTATACTTGTTTACACATTGGAAGTAATTCTTCAGCCTTTTTAAAAATAGAAGGCTTGAAGGTATTATCTTGTCTTGGAGCTGGAAGATATTTTTGAAGTCCCCTTGTCTGATCTCTGGCCTAGGTGGGAGCTTAACAAAACAGGGCCGGAACCCTCTGTGGACTTCCTCTGCCAGGCTAGTCCCCTGCAGGGGAGAAAGGAAGCAGGGCCAGGGAAGGGCTGCAGCCCGTGGTCTGTGGTCTCCTCACATGGGCTATTAAAGAATAGCCCATGACCCCTGTGCTGAGCCAGACAGGCTGGAATCGAATTCAATGGCAGCATCCTGGACCCAAACACAATGACTCTTCGGGCATCCTTGACTCCCCAGGAAAAAGGCCTGTGGGTCTGCTCTGCAGGCCCTTCAGGGAGCAGCCAGGAAGGCAGGGGTCTGGCGGCAGGGGGCACCATGAGACCACTCAACTCAGCACAGGGCGCCAGACCCAGTGGATGGCCAGCTGGAGAACAGTCGGGGGTGGGGTGGCGGGGGGGCTCTCCCTTTCTGGACTCAGCCTGCTTATCTGTGAGATCACCATGGCCCAGCAGACCATCTCTGACGTCTGTCTGTTCTGACATTCCTACTAGCAGTAGAAATTGCTCAGCACACAAGAGGACAGGATAACAGGGACATGGAGAGGGGACAATGTCGAGACTGAGTGGCAGGCACCCTGTGGCAGGCAGCCTGCGCTCTGGGCAGCCTCAGCTTATCCACACAGCAGCACAAATGACCAGCCTGAGGCTGCCGCACAGAGCTTTCTATGTACTGCTCTCCCTGGAACCCTTAGGACAACTCCAGGGGGACTCCGTGTTCCATTTATAAGAGAAAACTGAAGCTCAGAGAAAATAACAACTGGCCAAGGTCTCAGAGCCAGGGAGGAAGAGGCAGAGCTGAGACTTGAACCTGGGTCTGTCTGACTCCACAGCCTGAACACTTCTTCCCTCCCCTCTTCACCTCTTGCCTGGCATTGCCTGGGAATAGTGGCCCATCAGCATCAGGGGACACTCCCAGAAGAGCCAGGCCAAAGCCAGGAAGATAGAAGCCATGGGGGAACCTGCTGCTGTCCCTCTGCCAGCCCCTAACCCCTGGCCCCTCATCAGCATGAGTTGGCAGAACCTGGGCTAGAGCCACAGAGGACTGGACAAGGGTGAGGCCTTGCCCAGCGCCATCATTATTTGCTGTGTGGCTGGGGACAAAACATCTCTCGCTAGCCTGAGCCTCCCACTGTAAGACCACTGCTTGTCCACCTTGCAGTGATGTCAGGAAGGTGAGAAAAGGGGTCTGTTTGTACTTTGAATGGCGGCACAGCCGGTACTAGTCTGGTTAGTGCTCTTTTCCCCTCCCCCTCCTCGTCACGTGATTACTGTTTATGGAGCACCCACCAGTTACTGAACACCAGTTACTGCCCTAAATGCTTTACCCGTGTGTTAAGTTAGTTAATCTTCCCAGCAACCCTAGGAAGGAGGCATTATGACCACACCCATGTAACCAATGAGGAAACTGTGGCTCACAGAGGGGCGGGGCTTGCCCAAGGCCCAGTACCAGTAATATATGGCACTAGACCAGGGTGTTTGTCCCATCTGGGCTCCATCGCCTCTTGACAAGGGTGGCTTTCATACGGAAGCTGACTGACAGAAGGGGGCAGGATGTGAGGGGCAAAGGACTGAAGGACTGCTGTGTGGAAGCCACACAGAAGGGTGGCCACCACCAGGTGGGGGTAACCTCTGATGTCTCTGCCAGCTCAGCCACTCAAACCCAAGAAAGGAAATGACCAGCTAAAAGTGGCTGGGACAAGGGAGGGTGCCAGTGAGAACCTTGGGTACCCAAAGGGGGAAGCTGAGACCGGACAGAGCTAGTCCGGGCCTGCCGGACTCCCAGGCAGAAGTATCTGTCCCAAAATAGGAGCTGAGGCCAACTGAGCTGGGGAATTAGATAGATGCATACACATGAATATGTGCGAATTTATCTGTATATAAGTAAATTTACTGGAGCAAGTATGGTGGGAGGGAAGAGAACTGGGAAGGGTGTAGTGGGGGAATCAGGATTGGGATGCCCAAGGCAGGTAGGCCTCAGCTGCCCTCCAAAGAGGAGTGGCCAGGCCTGATCTGAGTGAGCCTGAGGCCTTGCCTTGGAAGGACAGCGTTCCAGACTCTCTCATCTAGAAACTGTCAAGAAATGAACTTTGGCAAGATCATGATCCCTCAGGGGCATGCACCACCCCTAGAGATTGATTCAAGTTCTGGGTATGGGGACTAGGAATTATATATTAATAACCTCCCCCGGGTGACTTCAGAGCACACCACAGTGTGAGAACCACACATACTTACAGATGAGGAAACGGAGACTCAGTTCCCAGGCCAAAGTTCAAGGCCCTTTCCTGGACAGCCCCAGCCTGCCCTTTGAGAATGACTACTCTTCAGCAAAGGCATCTCCCTAAATACCAAGCCTGCCTTCTTGCTAGTGTCTAAGAAGCTAAGCAGGCTTCTGAGGACATGTCCCAACTTGGTGAGGAAGTATGCTGGAATCTATTAGTGATGTCTGCCACGGGTTGGAGGGAAGAATAGCAGCATGTGTGCCAGGCAGCTGCCCTTCAGGAATGCTCTGCTCTAGCCAGAGAATGCCTGCCTCTTTCTCTCTGTTTATTCTAATCCTGCTCAGCCTTCCAGGCCAAGCTGAGAGGTATCTTCCTCCAGAAGCTTTCCTGGATGGCCTTAGAGCCTGGGGTCTCTCCTCCTGAAGTTCTAGATCTCTGAGTCAGTTGTGCTCCGTGGGCACTGACCACCCCTACTCACCTGGCCTCATAATACTTGTCACACCAACACCTTGCACTAGCTGTTGCATTTCAAGAGAAGGCATGGGGCCCAGCATTCCCTGAGGGCCTCCGCTAACCATTCTGGGATATGAGTGCTATTAACCCCTACTATTCAGAGAAGAAAACAGGCTCCGAGGAGTTGAGTGACTCAACCAAAGTCACACAGTGAGAAACGGAGCCCAGACTCAGACTACTTGGTGGGCTTCAAGATCACGGTGCATCTGTTCACGGTTAAGGCTCACACAGATAACTGACTTCTCTCAGGCTGAGACCAGCCTCACATACTTCTGTGGTTCCTCTTATGCCGCAGAGCACAGGGCCTGGTACACAGCAGGAAATTGATAAATACTTATTTATCTATATATAAATATTCACGAGAGGCAAAGAGCGTGGTGGTTTGTTAAGAGCACTAGCCTTGGGCTGGGCGCGGTGGCTCACGTCTGTAATCCCGGGACTTAGGGAGGCCGAGGTGGGTGGATCACAAGTTCATGAGTTCAAGACCAGCCTGGCCAAGATGGTGAAACCCCGTCTCTAATGAAAATACAAAAATTAGCCAGGAGTGGTGGCAGGTGCCTGTCATCCCAGCTACTCAGGAGGCTGAGGCAAGAGAATCACTTGAATGCCAGAGGCGGAGGTTGCAATGAACAGAGATGGCACCACTGCACACCAGCCTGGGGGCCAGAGTGAGACTCTAACTCAAAAAATAAAAAAAAAAAAAGCACTAGTCCTGGAACCAGATTCTAATTCTGGTTCAGACATTGATACACTGTCACCTAGAGCATGTTAGATAACCTTTCTTTTTTTTTTTTTTTTTTTTTTTTTTTTTTGAGACAGAGTTTCGCTCTTGTTACCCAGGCTGGAGTGCAATGGCACGATCTCGGCTCACCGCAACCTCCGCCTCCTGGGTTCAGGCAATTCTCCTGCCTCAGCCTCCTGAGTAGCTGGGATTACAGGCACGCGCCACCATGCCCAGCTAATTTTTTGTATTTTTAGTAGAGACGGGGTTTCACCAGGTTGACCAGGTTGGTCTCGATCTCTCGACCTTGTGATCCACCCGCCTCGGCCTCCCAAAGTGCTGGGATTACAGGCTTGAGCCACCGCGCCCAGCCTAGATAACCTTTCTTTGCCTCAGTTTCCTCTGCTGTAAAATGGTCACAAAAATACTATCTACTTCATAGGGCTGTTGTGTGAGAATTAATGAGTTCACGTAAACTGCTTAGGATAATGCTGAACATGGAATCAATATGTGTTGTCACTGTGGCTGCCTGATGGATTTCTGGTCCGGCTAAGCTGTAACTCTATTTCTACAGCTACTGTCTCAGATCTTTTAAATCCAAACACACAACGGTCTGGGCTAAGCTACACCTGCTCTGTTTTCTGTGGGGACCATGCAGTGGTAAGAACGCAGCATCTGGAGTCCTAAAGTCAAGGGTTTCAGTCCAGGCTCTGCCTTCCAGGTCCCAATGGGCCTCAGTTTTATCTTCTGTCCAATGGGTGGAAGGTTCGCTGAGAGGCTTCCGGGACAGCAGGGGTGGAACGCGGTGACTGCTCACTCCCTGCAGCCCCTGGGCCAGCCCTCCCCGCATTGCATGTATCCTCCCTCCCCCTGTAGCTTTCTCACCTTCCTGTGTCCTGTGAAGAAGAGGGAAAGGTGGTGCATGGAGCCACCATTGCGGCCCAGCTCTTTCTTGAGGGTACTGGGCGAAGGCATGGCCCAGGTGGAGGCGGCGCCCTCACCGTCTGAGCAGTGCAAGGTGGTGTCGGAGGCGAAGCAGGTCCCCCGGGGCTCCTGCAGCAGGCTGCCCTCGCTGTGCGTCCGGCGCCGCAGCGAGTTCTGCACACGCAGTGAGAGGCCACCCTCAGCCCCCTGGCCCGTCTCAATCATGCTGCTGCGCTTCACCTCACTGCGCTCTCCATAGTTGTCATCGCTGGTGTCCTCATCCTCATCCTCCTCCCCTTCCTCCCCTTCCTCCCCCTCCTCTTCTGCATTCTCATCTCCTGAGCTGCCCTGCTCTGCCCCTGCCTCCTGGCTGTAGGTGCTATCCAGGCGGACCTCAGGGATCACGAAGGCTGGCCTGGAGGCCGCAGGCGGGTCCCCGGTGGCTGCTAGCAGGTCCCCAGAGCTCGTGGTCTCCTCAATAAGGGCCTTGGCTGGCAGGGAGACCTGGCTAGGAGGCAGATCTTGGCAGGGTGGAAGGTCCTGGGTGGGGGGTTCCTGGGCGGCAGGGAGGTCTTTGGTGAGTAGAGGGTCCTGATGAGGCAGGGGTTCTTGACCAGCAGGCAGGTCCTGGCAAGGTGAGAGGTCTTGGGCTGGAGGGGGGTCCTGGCATGGTGGGGCATCCTTGCTTGGCAGGGCATCTGGGCCTGGAGGGGAGTCTTCACAGGTAGCTGAGTTGTTGCTGGACAGTGGTTCTTGGGCAGGAGTGGGTTCCTGCCCAGAAGAAGAGTCCTTTTTGGGTGGAAGGTCTTGTTCTGGAGGAAGCTCCTTCCCAGGAGAGGGCTCCTTGCTGGGTGGGGAAGCCTCAGCACCAGGCCCCTTCCCTTCCTCCAAGGACATCTCCCTCTTCTCATCTGCCTCTGTCTCAAACATCTGGGAAACAAAAAGAACACAAGAACGGTTCAGAAGAAGAGGCTCCGAGATGCCAGCATCAAAGGCTGACATGAAACCAGGAAGTGACCTGAACCCCGGCACCCCAGCCTGAAAGCTGAGGTGCCAGATGGAACCCTGAAAGCCCCTTTGACTTGGCTGTGTAACGATTCTCACCCTGTCTTCTGTCTTGAACTTTCTGCTCCATCAAAAACACAGCTGGTCACTTACAGGAGAAGAGGGAGTGGTAACCACTGTCTATCCAGCTCCTGCCGTGTCGGGACCAGGCCAGCTTGTCCCCACTCTCTTATATGGCCTTCCCAACAACCCTATAAAAGAAGACCACTGTCCCCATTTTACAGAAAAGGAAACAGGGTTGAAGTCGCCTCTGGGAATAAAGGAGAACCAGGCAGTCTCTGCTCATGGACCAGAACCAAGCCAAGCCCCAAAGCCAGGGCGGTCACTGAACCTAGCCCGGGATGTCTTCTACCTGAATTAAAGTTTAAAAAATCTGAATGAGTCATTCAAACAAGAATGTGCTCTGAACGTTTAAGTATCTTTTCGAAACTAGTGAACTGGAATGAAACTGGAACTGGAAAATACTGCCCACATCTGGACTCGCCAGATGTCACAGACATATGGAACCTCCCTGTGGGATCACTTACTCCGGGATTTCTAAACTGCTGGGAGGAACCTCAGGGATTCTTTAAAAACACAGCATCTCCTGCTCACACACAACCCTCAGGATCCTAGGGGGTTTTGTTGAGTTTTGACACATTTCATGCGCAAAGAGAAAAACAATTCTGTTGATCAAAGTCTGAAAAGCAGCTACGTCACCAGAAGACTGAGGCCCTGTGAAAGTCAGGAGTGTCCATGGTGCCACAGCCACACAGGGCAGCAGTTTTCAAGCCTGGGCTGGGCCCCTCACACTCAAGGACCAAGAATGCTGGAGCTGGAACTGTTTGTTTAGAGCCCAGCTTCTGTCCTTCAAAAAGCCATAGCTGCTGAGAACTAATGAAAGAGAAAGACCCCACTCATACTCGGGAACTGTATGGATGCTTGCGAATGTGTGCACATGCGGGCACACACACTGGCAGAAAACTTCACGGGTAAGTACTCCCAGAACATGGGGTAAGAGCTCTCATTGTAGAAATCATTCATGTCCATTTGATGGATGAGAAAACTGAACCCAAAGGCCAGTGGCTTACCCACTATTGCACAGCCGCCCTGACACCAAAAGGCCATGCCCAAAGCCGAGAAGTCTCTGAAGCCCCAGGGAGTCTGTAATGGCGGAGCCCCACAGCTGGGAGCCAGTGATCAGCCATGGCTTGGGGCAGCTGCAGGCGGCTGCACACACATGTCAGGGGTCACGCTGGCATCTGGGAGCACAGATGTGAGCGGATGTGAAAGCGCGGCGCAGGTAACAGCCTCAGCCTGGGAGCATGAAAGTGAAAGTGGAGCCTTGCAGAACAGAAAAGGTGGCTGGGCAAGGGAGGGGAAGCCTCGGAGGACTCCAGCAGGAGCTGGCCAGGGTCAGGCACACCTTAGGCTGTGGCTCACAGGCCAGAGACAGGTGCCTGCTGATGCTGTGGCCTTCTTGCCCTGGAAATCCTCCCTGTAGCTCAGAGGTGACTCCACCCAAGGGCCCTCTCAGACCTCATAGCCTCAGACTCTGAAACAACAGCAATCCGAAATCCCCACTGCATAGACAGGAAGGCTGAGGCCCACACGGGGGTGTCAGGTAGCGCCAGTCACCAACCTTTGTGCCTCAAGATGTCCACCTATGAAATGGGATAAGCAGCATGCCTGAGCAACATATCAGGAGGGTATGCTGCAGAAAGTGGAAAGCTCCTTAAAGGAGGTGGTGTTGGCAGTGGTAGTGATTTAAAAGGCATTGATCTAGAGGGAGACTCTGAAGTTAAAGACCTCAACCAGTGACATATGTTTCCCATGCACCCCACACTCTGCCAAACACCAGAGTCAATGTTGGCGATTGTAATGTCAGGGCCTCCAGTCCAGAATTCTCATCTGGAAACTAAGGGCTGTGCTTCGGTCCCTTCAGGCTGTTCCCAGGTGGACAGAAAGACCCTCCAGTGAGTGGACAGGAAGGCTGAGGGCCCAGTCTGGACAGTGACTTAGTGACTTGCTCAAAGCCACCCTGCACAATTCAGGGGCTAGGCTGGGGCCAGAACCCAGGCCCTCTGTCCCTGTTCTCCTCAAGCCCACTTCTGATCTCCATCTCCATGAGCAACCAAGTCCCCAGCCCATCGCCCCACCCACTGGGGAACATTCTCCATCAGGAGAACTGCCCCACAGCCAGCTTCTACCACCCTCCCACATGGCCCACCCCAACACCGGTCCCCCGGCCCAGCCACCTGCCTCTGAAAGTCCTTGGGGAAAGACAGAAGGAAGCAGCAACCGGGTGCCCTCAGGGCCTGGCATGGAGTGGCACTGAGAGGGGAGCAGGTCACATTTCCCCTTTCCTGAGTGGTGGGGGTGGGGACCAGGTCTCTCCCAGTGGTGACTGTCAGCCAGAGCCCGCCCACCCATTGGGGAAAGTGCAGCAACAAACGCAAAACCAGAAATGCAAGTCAGCCTGCCTCTGCCAACCCTATTCTAAACCGAGGCCAACCCAAACAAAGGCAGGAGGGGAAGTGCCGCTCAGGCAGGGGTGCTGTCCCCAGAGGGCCTCTACCCGGAGGGATCGGGGAGAAACTAACCAAGGCGGAAGGGTTCTCAGAGGGCCCAGTGGTTATGTGCTTGGATCCCCAAGTCAGACTGATTTTTATCCCAATGGGGCCACTTTTTAACTGTGTAACTCTGGCCAAGCCTCGCAATGCCTCAGACCCTCTGTTTTCTCATCGGGAATGGAGCCTGATGATATCACACTGGACTCACGGGACTATGTGAATCTCCTCATAGTGCCTGGCCCTGGAAAAGCTTTTGATCCAATGGGAGCTATCAGTAGTCTTATTCTAGAAATAAGAAACCTAGGGAGCCAGAGGGAAAGGGAATTACCTGAGAATGAGAGACTGATGCAGAATTAGAACTCACATCTTCTGCCCAGGGTCTCTCCCTGTTTCCTTGGAGCCTTACACACAAGTGTTTGGGGCCCTCAGAGGGCTACATAGGGAGCAGGAGCAGCCTGGAGTGCTGCCTAAGACCCCTCACCTGGGCGCATCCCACATGAGCAGATGCTGGCGAACAGGGCCCAGAGCGCATGGTTCTTTCTGTGCTCCCAGGCAGGCTTGTGTGAACAGGGACTGCGCGCAGGTTTGGTGAGGCCTGTGTTCTTGGAAGAGCTGGGGTGGGAAGTGGTTTGATGGAGTCTCTGGAGCAATTACAGGAAACCCAAGAACCCCAGGGGTAGGGGGTGGCCAGTGTAGCAGAAAATTAGGGCAGGAGAGGAAGCAAAGATGAGGCCAGGTTGCAGAATACACGGTGGGCATGGGATTGCCCTGTGAGCAATGAAACAACGCAGGCAGAGCTGCGCTGTGTCAAAGCTGCTCTGGGGAGCGTGGGCCGGATGTGTGGGTGGCAGGGAGGACTAAGGCATGCATGCATTCATGCATTCATTCATTCTCCACGCACTGAGGTAGGTACTGGGGGAACAGCAGGGAACAAGTCAGATACAATCTCCGCCCTCAGTTAAGCAGAAAAAACAGAGGTTGGACAACTACTTTCAAGGAGCATGGGGAGTGCTCTGACAGCGGAAGTACAGGCAGTTGGGGACCCAGTGAGGCAGCTGTTGCAACCAGCTGGGGTAACAAGAATCCAGCCAGCACGTCCCAGAGAGACCAGCCTGCTCACCCAGGGCCTTGGGTCCAGAGTGCTGGCAGCCACTGCCCTGCCCTCCCAAGGTGGGGGTCTGTGTCTTTCCCATCCATCATTTCTCTGGTTAATTCTGCCCATGTCTCGTCTGCTGTAAGCACACAGGAAATGAACCAGGCCCTCTACATGGAGCCACTGTTTAGGACCTAATCAAATCCTCTCCCAAATCCAATCCAGAGCTCGGAACAGGCCGGGGAGGGATGGCAGCTATGACGCCCAGAGTTCACACTCATACCAGCTATGGCTCCTAGGCCCCAGATGCCCACTGGCTGTTGGGTTGAGGGTAGTGGTGAGCTGCTGGAAGTGACTTGTCCAACATCACACAGCTACTCACCGAGCAGCCAGGTCTGCTGACCCAGGGGCAACCTGCAGCTCTCACTCCGATGATTCATCACAGCCGCCACAGATGCCGCGCTCCGCATCTGCCCTCAAAAACCACTTCCTGCACTGGGGAGTGCAAACTGGGGTTTGCCTCTGCCTCAGGGTGGCCCTTAACAGTCACGACTTGATAGACAGAGCACCGGACACAAAGCCAGAAGGCCTGGGCTGGAATCCTCACTCCATCATTTTCTAGCTGTGTAATCCCCAGCGACCCCCCTCCAAGCTGGGTCTCTCTGCCATGAAAGGGGGAGCGGATGCCCTGCTGCTTCCTATGCCAGAGACCCAAGGGGACCAAGTCTGAGAAAGGGCAGGAGGGTGCTCTGTGAACTGTAAAGCTGCTTGAGAAGGAGAGAGGCTGTTAGAATTCCTGCCCCACATTGGACCTCCAGGCTTTCAAGATGGGCTGTTCCTTCAGGCTTTGCATGCTCTGGCTCCCCAGCTTCAGGTCCCTGGCTCAACGCTAGCTTCCAGGAACCTTGACGGCTCAGCTGACACTTAGCTCTCCCAGCTCAGTGTCACCCCAGCTCCTCCAGGCCTGGCCTTCTAACCACCCAGAGGCTGGCACCCCCCGTGCGTCCTCCACCACCAACTCAGAGACCCTCCACACTGTTCTCTCCCTTCGACCTCCACTCCCTCCAACACAGCAGGTTTGGCAAAATTCAGGAGGATGGAGGCGATACTTATATTAGGGAGAGTTCCAGATACTAACTTCACACTTATTTGCTGGGTGACCTTGGGGTTAACCTTTCTGTGCCTCAGTTTCCTTAGGAATACATAGGATTTCTAGAACCTTCTCACGATGTTGTTAGAGGAATAAATGAGCTAATGTGTATCCAGGGCTCAGCACCATGAGGGCACACATGAGCCCCCAATAAACAATAGCCTTGGTCACCCCAGCACAGTGTGGCTTTGACATCTCCCTCCCTGAATTTCCGCTGACCCCTTCTCCACCCTGTCATGGGCCTGTCTGCCTGTCCTTCAGGACCTGCTGCAGGGTCCCTCTCATCATCGGCCTGTCTGCTCCCTTGTGAACCCATCCACTCCCCCCGCTACAATCACTGTCTGCACCATCTGGCCGCTGGCGACTCGCTGTCCACACTGCCGGCTCAAACCCATCTCCTGAGTCGAGATGCCACAGGCAAGTATTCACCAAATCCTCATAGAATAGTTGTGCATCCAGACACTGTGCTAGGCTCTGTGCATAAAGGGCATAAAGGAAGGAATAAGAAACACTTGATCCCTGTCCTTGCGGAGCTTGCAGACAAGAGAGGAAGGAGGCGCATTGACCAAGTCGTCACTCACAGAAACAGGATAAATGGAAACCATGATCTGCGATGTGAAGGAAAACCCTCAGATACTGTGAGAGAGTACAGGGGAGTGTCAGGGAGGCCACCCTGCTGAACGGCTGGAGACTGAAATCTGCTTAAGGGACAGGGCAGGGCTCATTAGGGGAGGGAGCAGCATAGGCCAAGGCCTCGGGCCAGGAGGAGCCTTAGCATGCTGCTGAGACAGAGAGGACACCTGTGTGGCTGCAGCCCAGGGACAGGGATGGAGACCTCCTTCTGCATCACCCATCGGTGCTGCCAATTCAACAAGCCCTACTCTGAGTGCATGGTCACCCCCAAAGTCCATCATTCCTCCTCTCATGGTCCCTATATCAATGAAGCCACCACCAGTTGCCCAAACCAGGGACCTGGCTATCATTTTGTACTCATTTTCCTTCACAACACCCCCATGGTCAATCCTCAAATCCTCCTGATCATCACTTACACAGTTTCAAGGATCCTTCTCCTAGAGAGGCTAGCGATAAGGAGGACAGAGCATATGAGAGCTGTCTGTACTTCGTGCTAATTCCTAAAGCTACTCTAAAAAATAAAAGTTGAGGCCAGACGCCATGGCTCACGCCTGTAATCCAGCACTTTGGGAGGCCAAGGTGGGCAGATCACCTGAGGTCAGGAGTTCAAGCCAGTCTGGCCAATGTAGTGAAACCCTGTCTCTACTAAAAACACAAACATTAGCCAGGCGACATGGCATGTACCTGTAATCCCAGCTACTCAGGAGGCTGAGGTAGGAGAATCGCTTAAACCCAGGAAGCAGAGGTTACAGTGAGCCGAGATCGTGCCACTGCACTCCAGCCTGGGCCATAGAGTGAGACTCTGTCTCAAAAAATAAAAAATTGAAAAGTTGATTAATCTTTTTTAAAAAGAAAGTTTCTACTCTCTGCGTGTCTGCTGCCACCACTTCCCTCTAGACCACCACCATCTCCCATCAGGATGATGTGGTCATTGCACTGGCAATGCAGATCCCGCTGGCCATCCTCTGTGCTACATCAGCGGAGCCGCCTAAATGCAAACCTCAGCTTGTCACTCCTCTGCTTAAAACTTTGCTGTGGCTGGTGTTCCAACACCTCTCAGATAAAGTTCAAATTCTGTAGCCCTGGAAGACCCTGGGCTCTGTCTCCCTGTAGCCTCATGTCTGACCACTCCCCAGCTGCAATGTTTGATGCATGAATAAATGAGTGAAAGAACAACCCAATGAACTTCACAGGACCATCTAGACTCTTAGCCTCAAAGTGCAACCCATGAGCCAGCAGCAGCAGCACCCAGGAGTTTATATAAAATACACACTCCTAAACCTCAATCCATGCCCCCACCTCCCCACCCTCCCCTCCATCCACCTCCTCCCCCCCCCCTTCAGAATCTTCGTTTTAACAGGATCCCAGGAGATTCATTTGCATATTAAAGTTTGAAAACCACAGACCTAAACTATTGGTTCTCAATGGAGAAGTACACTTTAGAATTACCTGTGGAGCATTTTAAAGATGCCTCTGTCTGAACCCGATCTAAGACCGACTGCATCACCTTCCCTACAAGTAAGACCCAGGCCTTTTTACTTCTTTCTGATGCCCGAGATGATCCTGGAGAGTGGCGTCAGGTAACAGACAAGGTGACTGTCTGTTGCGTGAGGCCCAGGCAAAAGAAGTGATAAGCCCAAGGTCATACAACAGAATCAGGACTAAAATCCAGCCCAGAACCTCACCTGGGACCAGTTCAAACACACAGCGCCCTCTCTATAAGGGGGAGCCCGTACAGAAGAGGCATGACCTCAGAGCAGGATGGGGGGCTGGCAAGTTCCCTGGAGGCAGCTGCCCATTCATGTTCCCTAAACAGAGGCCCAACGGCAGGAGGAGAGAGGGGCAAAGGAGGAATTCGACCACAGACTGAAGCTCCTCTGTCGGAGGCTCAGGAGGGTGGCACGCCACAGCAGGGAGCGCACCCACTCTACAGACCGCAATACTGAGGCACAGAAGAGGGGTAGCTCACCCCCTCGCAGAGACTCTCAGGACAAAGCCAACACTCATGGAAGGGGAATCCCTGAGGAAAGAGAAGACAGGAGGGCCCCCTCAGAAACCCTCCCTACTCTTGGCACTTTCACCTGACCAAGCCAGAAGGACACGCTATTTGCAACCTTCTGGAGACCCACCACTACCTGCCTGGATGCCCAGCTTCTCCCTGGGCAGGGAGGCAGCTCCCGGGGTTTCAGCACCGTTCTCCCGCCTTCGTTTCTGATACCACTGCTTCAACGCGGGGTGGACTTGCAGTCTCTGTCCCCACCTACCACCCCAAGGACCCCTTCTACTCCTCCAGCTCTCTTCTCTGAAAGGCAGGGAGTTGAGAGTTGAGAGCAGGGGGCTTCCCAGCTTCTTCCTAAGCTTGTGGTGACTGACGCCTCATGAGAAGGGGAACTCCAGGCCTCCTGGCCTCTCCTGCCCCAACCCTGGGGCTCTGCTCAGGAACCAGTTCACCTGTGGGCTCTATCCTCACTCCCCTTCCCAGCTGGCACCCTGCTCTTCTGCCTGCTCTGTGTGTGTGTGTGTGTGTGTGTGTGTGTGTGTGTGTGTGTGTGTTTGTGCTTGGGCAGTCTCCTTTCCCTAAGCTCTCTACCCCTCAAGTCCACTTCCTGCCCATCCCTGTGAGTGCTGGATCAATCGCCTCAGATGTTCTGGCTGGAAGGCTCTCTGCTCCCCTGCCAAGACCCAGCCTGCCCTGCTGTCATAGCCCTGGGCAAGTCCTATTTGGCTCATCAGGATCATGTCTGGCTTATTCACACCATTTCCCCCAAGACTTACTCAGCAAATACCTACAGAGCTGCAGCCATGTGCCAGGGCCTGTGCTGGCTGTTGCAGCCAAACAGCAGCAAGCCATGTTCTCTGCCTTGGAGGTGCTGGGTCAATCTCTCACCCACCTGCTACCACAATAGGAGGCTGTGGAAGCAGAGGCAGCAAGAACAACTAGGACTGCTCTGGGAGGAGGTAATGGGGGGAAAAGATGGGACAGGATATTCCAGGCTGAGCCAGAGCCAGCAGGGAACATTCAAGGAGGTGGAGGTGTTTGGATGGGGCAGGAGCATGGATATGTTAAGGAATTCCGACTTTACCCAGAAAGCAGTGTTTACTTAGTGCTGTAGAGGTAAGGAAGGTGAAGCTAGAGGTGTTCAAAACGGATAATGTTGACAAAGATAGGGGAGAGACAGCGATCATTAACTGAGCGTCTACTGTGCGCCATGCACTGTGACCGTTTATACTTTAGGCTCTAACTATGTTTTATACTTTGGGCTGTAACTTCCAACAACCCTATGAGATCAGTATCATTTGTAAATAACAAAATGAGGACTTAGAGACATTAAGTAAATTACACAAGATCAAACAGCAAGTCAGTGGAAGAGTCAGAGGAAACCGTGGTCTGCCTGACTCCAAAGCCCTGCTCATTCTACTCCTCTGATCTCTTTTCCTGCCCTCTTCACTTTCCCCTTCCCTTCCTTCCAAGGATGCTCCCTGAGGACCCACCTGGGCCGGGCTCTGTGCTAGGGAGTGGTGAGCAATATCAGATGCAGGGGCCCTGCTCAGACTCCACATGGTTGGAGATTGAGGGGCAGGAGACTGATACCTGGTGTTGGGAGGGGCGGTGCAGAATCCTGCACACCTAGTGACCCTCCCAAATCCTCTCCCTCCCAAGGGCCCCTTCCAGGTGGGGAAAGCTAGACGCCTGGGGCTTCTCTGTGATGTTTTACACTAGGTTAATCAAAGAAGCTCTGCCGTGCCAGGAAGACCTCAGGGAAGGAAACAAATAGCGCTGCAGTCATGAGGTCAGCATGTGGAAGCAGGAGGGCCTGAGGGTGAATCCCACTTCCTACCCATGTGCCACTTCCCTCACAGCCAGTGTGCTGCTTCCTCGCAGCGCTGCAATGGGCCATACAGAGGTAGTGCCTGGCACACAGTAGCCCACAGTGGTGCCCTTCTGCTCCTTTGCCTACCTCTCTACAGCTTGACTCTCTCATGAATGGGCATTAGGGACCAACCTAAAAACTAAGGCCACAGATCTGAGAATAGGGAGGACTGAGAGCCAGGGATGGTAGGAGGGAAGCCTGTTGCTGATGAAGAACTGGGACTTGGAGACAGGCAAATCTAGCTTGAAAGCCTGGCGCTGCCACCTCCTGGGTCCGTGAACCCGCACAGTCTGCTTAAAGTATTTACGCTCAACTTCCTCATCTGTAAAACGGCAATGTGAATACGGAGAACCTACATCACGGCTGAGGGGAGGGCTTAGCATAGGGCCTGGCACCCAGTAGGTGCTCAATAAGCATCTGCAATTTCTGTAATCATAATTGTTACTCTCAGCATGATCATCGACATCAGCTCCCTCTCCTGCATCTAATTCCAGGACAGGACACGAGACACATTTTGACCCTTACAGCCGCCTAGGACAGGATCCTATTAGCTGCAGGTTTCAGAGGAGGAAGTTGGGAAGCTGAGAAGGCAGACGAGTCTGTGCTCAGCCCACCCATAGGCTGGGTCAGTCTGGCTCACTGCGTGGCCTGGGCCAAATCACTCTCCTCTCTGGGTCTTGCTCTCTCCAGCGTGTCTGTCCAATTCTGAATCTCACCTAGAAAGGTCAGAGTTCAAGGCAAGGCATGGCCAGGTCTCCTTGTGGGGGCATCACGGGCAGGAGGAACAGAAAGATCCCCCTTTCCAGATACACCCCCTGCCTTATCTGTCTGCCCCAGCCTGTCCCACTACCCCTCGTCCTTCAGCGCCTGCAGCACTAGAGCCCCAACCCAGTGAAAGAGAGGCTCTTTCACTCGAGGACATGAGTGGACATGTAGACGTGTGACTCACCCACAACCCTATGGCCGAAGGTTACCCTCCCAATCTTCAGGCACCCTCAGCCTCACCACTGCCTCTTGAGGCAGGCGCACACTATCTCTGCAGGGGGAAGAAGCGGGTGATGTCGGGGCTGGGTTTGGCTGGATTTACAGTCTTCTCCAAACCCACCCTCCTGTCTCTCTGCCATGAGACTTTCTTATCTCCCTTGGTCCTGCACCAACTTGCCGGTATTGTTCTGCTCAAAATGCCTCCATCCCTCTAGGATAAAGTTCCATCCCCTGACCCCGTGTGTTCTGCCCCAGCCAGCTTCTCCACCACACTGTTTCTCCTCCTTTCCCTCCAGCCAGTCTGAACTATAGGTCGTTTCCCAAATACATTCTACTCTCAGGCCCCTCTAAACCTATGCTCATACTGTACAGCCTGCCTAGAGCATCCTCCCCTCCCCATCCACCTGCTGAAGCTCTTCTCACCCTTCAAAATTCAAGCACCCCATACACGTACTGCCCCTTAATTTCTGACAAAGGTGATACTGCCATACAGTGAGAAAGGACAGACTTTGAATACATTGAATATTTATCCAGAGAAAATGAATCTTAACGTCTACTTCATATAGTGCATAAAAATCTATTTCAAGTGGATTTTAGATCTCAATATGAAACCTAAAACATCTAAAAGAATACATAAGAGTATATGTCCATAACCTTGTCATTAGCCAAGAAACAGGACTCAACCAGCAC